GCCTTGTATATGACATTGACATCTAACTTGACATTAATCTGTCCAAGCTCGAAAAGGATCGCTACTACCTGCCTTATTTTTTATTTTCTAATACAACAAGAAAACAATTGAAAGTATAGTCTGATTGAAGAATATTTTCAATTATTTATATTTTATTAAATTTAGTTTTATATAAATTATTATAGTTATTTTGAAAGCCTACACAATTTTATGTAGATGGCGTTATGTGTGGTTGGCTAACACCATCTTGTGGAACGAATAATAAAAAGGAAAGTTTGTTGAGGTAATATACGTACGACGACTGACGAGCAATCAACAAAGATGTCTCTACTTTATCCTTATCACGGATGACGATACAATATCCTCACGATAAAAATTAGAAAATTATTGAAAATAATATAATAGGGTCATATCTTATATTAAGGTGTTAGCATAAAAAAAAAATTGAAGGCGCTTGATTTTTTTTTAAATAAAAAAAAATTAAAGGATAATATTGTATAAGGATTTGAATAAAATCACTAATCGCAATTTACAGGCTAAAATATCGTGAAGAATTTTTTAAACACATTTCAATTATATTCATAATCATAGATATAGATATTTTAAATAAATTAAGCATTAGACATTTTTATTGAGGTATTTTACGCATTGTTTACATTCTCGTAGACGTATAAAGAGAATTCGTGGACTAGTAATTAAAAAAAAGGAAAAAGTTTTCGATAACGCTAGCGCGAACGAGGTACTTTTAGTAGTTTGTATTTTGTATTTACTATTAGTAATTTGTATTTAACATTGTGTTAACGATTTAAGTACTTTCCTATATTCATCGTATTTACATTTCATATACATAGCTTGTAAGTAACAATGTTAAAAATAGTACAAAAAGCATAGAAAACAAATTTGTACAACAGCTAAAACGGCTTTGAAACAATAGCAACGCAATTTTAAGCACCTAGGCAGGTATCAAGTAAACCTACTGACAAAATCTTAGACAGGCGCATTGTTCAAAGATTCGGGCTAAAATCCGAGAATTAATTTATCTAAGAGTTATGTTTCAACGTTTACAATATTAAATATAATGCAGTGCCGGATTCAACCTTAGCGCCGCCCCTGGGCATAATAAAAAATGCCGCCACATTATCGAAATTTTGCATAAAATGAATAAAGTTTCGATAAGGTTCAATTTATTTTTAATTTTTATAAATGTATAATGTTTAATTATACATATTTTGGAAAATAAAAAAAAACATTTTCGATAAAGCGAAGATTTTTTATTTATCCTTCGAATTTTGCCGCCCTAAAAATTTGCCGCCCTGGGCACTAGCCCTAGCGCCCCTAGTGTATATCCAGCGCCGATATAATGTAATAAGTTAAGATACCTATCTAATTATTTTATTTACGAATTGCATCAAAAAGCTCTCATTAATATAAATACAAACATAATATAGATTGTAGGTAGATACATGTCAATACATAAATCTTTACTTACTAGTTAAACTAATATGGCGCTTCAATTTTCATACTAATATTAAAATATTTTCCAAACATTAGTAGGTCAACTCGAAGAGGCAACAAAATATCAATATCCCAAAATCTGTATCCAAGCAACAATCAAGTTTTACGTGTATAGTGTGTTCGCTTTATGCGTTTGCTTTCATTTATTTATATGTATATATACGTGTAAACGGGAGATACAGGCATAATATGGTAAGTACCGTTCTCTACATATTACTCTATAATAGACAGAGTTGTAGTTTTAAGCGATGTTTTCAGCCAGCCTTTGTAGTCACGCTACTGACGCGAAGGTTAAGTGGAAAATAAATGAACAAAGGATTTATTTTGTACCATGTACTTATTATTTTTTAATTTACTTTTGAATATTGATATCAATATGTACATATATCATGTATCTTTGTTCTGTACATAATGAAATGAATAATGTTTTTTTTTACATTCTGTAATTTTTATGAGTATAAAAAGCACAGAATTAGCATATAATAAATATTCTTTTGTTTATTATATTAAATTGCTTGGTTGCTTTAAAAAAATACCTTCAAGAATCTTTTATAGTCTTATAGATTTAGTAAATAAGTTTATTTGCTTATGATAAAAAAGTAGGCGACATGCGCTGATACATCAAGAGATATCTTGATGTATGATCGCGTAAATATATGATGCAATGATTTTTTATTCCTGTTTAACATCATGTGCTCATTTTCTAGCTCTCACTGTTAGCAAAAAAGGTGCGAGTTGAACTTGCACGTTAAGGTATTCATGATTTCAATCCGATCCTCGGACGGATGGAAAGACGCGCAAAGAAATGGCGAATTCTCAGTAGTTAGTATTCAGTACCTAATCTATATATATTTATATATATATATATATATATATATATGGCAGTGGTAGCCCAGTGGTAACGCGCTCGCTTGAGAAACCGAGTGAAGCGAGTTCAAATCCCGGGTCTCGCACCTCTGATATTTTCATGTGCGAATCATTTCTAACATGATTACCACTTGCCTTACGGTGAAGGAAAACATCGTGAGGAAACCTGCATGTCTGAGAGAACCTAGCAAGTTTTCGAAAGACATGTAAATATATATATATATATATGTCGCTAGTTAGTTTATAGACAAAATTCTATCTTCATCGTTCGGGTATACAGTATACACTCATAGAAACACAAACAGGTCGTCATTATAAAGTACCTATATATTTTTCCAATCAATTCAATATACTCATATCTATTTTTTAAATATACACACTGAATCCGATATTATTTTATTATTTATATTTATTATTCATATATATTAAGTTTATTTTTAATCCTCAAGGAAAAATCAGGGTTAGAGAAGTTGTTAGAAGTTTGAAGCTAATTTATTTATTGTTTAGCTCCAAAACAGAATGGATCTAAATATTTTAATGTACCTACTTGTTTAACTTAAAAAGCTTGTTAAATGAGTTGGTGGTCGGTTATTTGTACGTATTTTAAGAAAACCTCTTTAATCGTTTAAAGATGTTAAAGAAATAGTTTCTTAAAGTTTTTTTTTTTCAGTTTAATTGTCGATGAGGTTCCATAGAGTTCACTCCAAGTTTATAAGACTCGTATCTTGTTTATTGTCACAAAAAAAACAAACATATATTTAAGTATTACAGTAAACTTAGCTTTCTAGGAATGTGTTAGCTTTATTTACATTGTCGCGTGATCGACCTTTATTGATGCAAGAGCTTTGCCCAGCGTGCGTGCATATGTTGACTGATAGGAACAATTTGATCGCTTTTATATTGCACATGTCAATACTTTGATATCAGCCATCTATAAAGACTAGTGATCGCTCCGTGGTTCAAAATCAACCATAATTCATTAAGTTTGATCCATATTGAGGTTCTTTTTTTAAAATTATATAGATAACCTATAAATTCCAACAGAATTTTGAAACGGATTTGCTCGTACAGACAAACAAACTTGTCAATTTTATATTATGTAATGCCTCGTATAATATTGATGAAAGATAACTAACATCATGGTACATCTTTTAGCAGTGAAGTAATTATATATATATGTATATATATATATGTATATATATATATATATATACATATGTATATATATATATCTATACATATATTAAATTATAAAAAAATAAGTATTATTTATTAAATTAATACTTAATTTTTTTTATAATTCAGTTAGTTCGAGAATAGCTAATAAAGTTTGGCCAAGCTTTGCGTGGATTTCCTATTGAAAATACCTACTCATAAATATACAAATTAGATGCAGATAGTATCTTTGTGTCAAATCCTATATTTATGTTAGACCAGGAATATAAATAACAGACAATCGCACGGAGGGCGTGCCCCACGCATAAAACGAACTGGCAATATTACGGGTCTGAGTATGGTCATCAGCTATATTTCGTTTTTAATCTGAAGCTTACTCGCACATCTAGAAAATAAGTTTATAATTTTTCTGTTGTATCTTGAGAAAAAGGTTTTGACAGACAAACAGACAGACTGGCTGACATACAAACAACGAAGTGATTCTATATGGGTTCATTTTTTTCTTTTAAGGTAAAGAACCCTAAAAATACCTAGCATTATTTATTTTACTGTACTTCATAAGTCACTCGGTAACAACACTTGTAATTCGTTATTCTACTAGCGAGTTGGGTACTCACTAAGAACAATTTAATATTCTAAAGTAGTCTATGACGAGATTCAGATTTCACAGATCAGGGGGCTTAGCCATATTACAAACGTTTCCTATCTAATCTCTTTCTATCATTGGTAGCGTATTGTCGATAGCTATTTTAGAAAACGATTTGATGCTAGCCATATCAACAAAACTAGTGTCTACAGTGTCAATCGTTCATTCTACAATGTGGATCGAAAAATAGCTTATTGTGAGCGTTCCTATACACGTCAAAGTCACGGTCTTGTTTGAAAAATCAAAATATGTTTTGTTTTGTGATAAAAAAGTGAGTGAATTATAATGGAAATACTTGAGTGTTCAATATTCTTATTTTAACGTAAGGATATTTACATTTTACGTCAAGAATGCAGCTTACGTGAGGTCGATGTAGAGTGGATGTTTTTGTTCAGCACCTATGAAGTGGTTGATAAGTGATTTAAAATCGTCGCTTAAGTAAGTATAGCATTCCTTCAGAGTAATTAATTTATATTTTATTTGACAAAATGAAGTGACTCGTAATGTAAGTCGTCACTTTAAGAAAAATAGTTTTGTCTTAAAAAGGGTCTATTGAAATATTTATGTATTTGACTTTGTAGTTGTTAGTGTTACGGGGATGGAAGTGCGCAACGGAGGGGAAAGAGCTTTACTTTAAAATGGGTTAGTTAGCTTAAGTTCGACACATTTCTAGCTGGGGTACTGAGTCTGTGTGTGTTGTTAATATCACAGTGCCAAATATAAATAAATTATTATAGTGAGGATGGAGTCCAGATGCCGAGCTAGCCCAGAACAATTTTCAGCTTTACTAGAATTCATGGAAAGGTACGTATATAATTATTAGTTATCTCAGCTTATAGTCATACTCAGGAACTAGAAAAAAACGAGGCTACTCTTACTGAGGCTTTAAACTATAACTGTATATTTCAACAATGTAATGTAGACATTTTCCCTAACACCTTAAGTTTATTTAAAGAGAAATTGTATTTAAATATTTAGATAAGATTAAATTGTTGAACAACTTCAATGTCACTACCAATTTTAATTTATTAGAAGACAACACCGGGGTACCTATATTGTCAATATATAATATCCACTTTTTGCCCAGTTTTGTTTATTGGGCCATAAATTTTTTGCTTCTTGGCCGATTTCGATGTTTTTTTTTTCAATTTATGGAGGATAAAATGCACTTTGATTTGATGATATATATATATATATATATATATATATATATATATATATATATATATATATATATATTTATTTGTTGTATATTATTTATCATATTTGCGTTTTGTCGCATTATATAGGGGATTGTAACTGAAGATCTAGAGTAAGAATAGAAAATAGAGAACTATTATTGTGTTAAACTCATGTCACTATGTAAATATAGTTAGTAAGCCTTTGACAAAAAATAAATAAAATATAATAGGTTTACTACTTGCATAGAAAACAAACAAAACTATTGTATTCACCAGCAAAGATGCTTGACACCTCTAGGTAAATTTCTAAGAAATTAATTAAAATTCTAAGAAATTTATTGTTAACTGACATGCCGGCGTGTCCGCGCTCGTGGAGGGATTAATCAATAGACCCTTTATTTTTCTAATATAGTTTTAATTTATAGCCATGGAGATATAGCAAGACCCCAACAAGGGGCTCAAGGCAGGATAAGGGCAGACCATCTATGGCAGGAGTTGAGAGAGTTACTTAACTCCATTGGTGGAGGAGTCAATAGATCAATGGAAAAATGGAAAAAAGTGAGATCCATTATTTTAATTCTCAAGAAAAGCTCTCAATAAAATTATACATTTTTTTATAGGTATTTCAAGCTCAGACTAGTGTTAGCATATTTATCTATTTTAGTTTAATTAAAACAATTGCAAACCAATCATAAGGTACAATAAATATTTACTATATAGTAAAAAGAGGCAAAAATAATTATATGAAAATATGTCCTTCATCTTTCTCACACAACTTTAAACATACTAATAAAATCTGTTCATTATCAATAAACAGAATAATAGTTGATATCAGTGTATATAACAATCTGTTCACTTAATTGACTGTATAATTAGATAACAACTTACATTATTTAACATTAACTGACTAATATCTGCAGGTGTGGGCGGATTGGAAAGCCAAAACAAAAAAAAAGGCCTTGGCAATGCGTCGCGAGGCTAGTGGTACTGGTGGTGGTCCAAGCAGCAGACAAACTCTCACAGCTTCGGAACAAAGGGTGTTGGGCATAATGGGTTTGTCTGCTGTTTTTGGTCTAGTTGGAATTGAGGAGAGAGGATTTGATGTTAGTTATTTACTTTCCTTGTGATTTTTGTAGTAGTAGTTGTAATAATAGTAATATTAGATTACTACTACCCACTAATAAGTGGGTTTAGGTTGAATTCTTTAATGTATATTTGTCATATTCTCAGGAACCACCACTTCAAGGAAGCCCTCTACCATCACCATCCAGAGATACCGTCCACACTGAATTTCCCTCCCAAACTGCCGCAGACGAGATTATGTTGTATTCTATAGAAGGTACTTTCTACTTGTATTCATTATGTGCTAAAATGTATTTGCACGTGAAGGATTATAATGTATAATTCACACCTTGCTTTGCATTGCCCAAAGGGTTAACAAAGCGTTAAGTCATATAAATAAAAATTAAATGCTGTTCATTGGTAAGGGCATTATTTGAGAAGTAATATATATATATATATATATATATATATATATATATATATATATATATATATATATATATCAGTTTGTAACTATAAGTTTTGTTTCCTCAGCGTCTCCTGCCCCATCAGCTCAACTGCCATCTCCCTCTATACTTTCACGTCTTCCTCCAACCCGAGTGTCAACACCACCGCTCGCCTCTGTGACCACGCCGATGCCGTCAGCGACGTCTCGTAATACAACTATACGAGGCGAACCACAACGACGAAGGCGTCCGGCGACCCCTTCGCCCGTGGCGTCACCTGCCACGTCTACCGCGGCGGCATAGGCTGCTTCGAGCACGCACAAGGCGAGTACAGACACCATTCGAACGAGCCACGAGCGAGTTCGTAACCGTCGAGAATCGCCGACTGCAATTGGAGGAAGACCGCGAAAAAAATAACCATCAGAGGGAGATGGAACGCCTTCGATTGGAATCGCGAAGGATTGAAATGGAAGAAATCCAAAATCAAATGTTTAACCGTTTAACTGGGATTCTAGATAGTTTGACAGAAATTTTAACTCAGTTGAGACCATCATCACTGGCTTCAACAGTTATTCTGTCTTGATGTGTCCAGTAATGGTGGCCTCACTTGTGAATGTGTCAAATTGTCTGAATTTTCAGCATCTTTTATTTCAATCCTTTGCAATTCTTTTCAAAAAGGAAATAGGTATTTTTTTTTTAAATACAGATTTTTATTAATGTTTTTAAATTTATTTTATTTTTGTTAATACATTTTAAGTACATTTTTATGCTAAAAACCTCGTCTTCCTTACAATAAGAGTTTACATAATAATAAAGGCATTTAGTATAATGAAAACATTTGTTTCATTTTTACAATTACTTATTAAATATTATATTCATACATTTTATAATATACATACCTAGTAAAAAAAGAAAAATGCAAATATTCACATTAATATTAGTGATGTAGATAACGAATATTCGAATATTTTTTGACAAGTATTTGCCTGAAACGAAATAATTTCCCATTTGTTCTAGTTAGTCTAATTGAAAAATTTAAAAATATCACATCTAAATAAAAAAAAGAATATCCAGCCTTATATTTAAAAAAAGATTCTAAATTATCTCTTTTGTGAAGAACGAACTGAATTGACGACACGTTTGACTCAGTGTGTAGTGACCCTACTTGTTGTGCCAGCGGTCGCGGGTTCGAGGTCCGCTGGGGGCATTCATTGTCTGATGAGCATGAATGTTTGTACTCCAGTCATGGGTGTTTATATTTAAAATATGTATGTTTTTAAAGTTTATATATGTGTAGTGTATCAACTATCTGGTATACATAACACAAGCCTCGTAGCTTACGATGGAACTAGATGGTGCTGTGTGTTAATGTCCCAACATGTTAAAAAAAAACTTGAGAAGACTAATCAAATTAATAACAATATCTAGGACTTATAACTCTTGTTACAATTATAGAAGGTTTGTACTTATTTAGCAGATTGTAAACTTTTCATTTACAGAAAACAAAAATATATTTGAAACAAACTTAAACTTATAATATCCAATATGTTATATAACCTTTGGCTTTCATGTATATTTTTCCATTCCATTATATATATTTTTCTAAGAATTAAGGCTAATGAATTATAAACTAAAAAATAGTAATAGTGAATACTTAACTGAACCGTTTGTAAATAAAGTTATAATTTCTTTTAACAGAAATCAAAACAATATTTTTACGATTATATAAACAAAAGTAAAGTTCTAATATCCATAATTTTTATTTAACCTTCGGTTCCAACGATATATTTTTTCACTATATATTTTCTTCTATATATTTAATAAATAATATGTTATTACCGACACAGAGGCGGATTTTGTAGTTTTTAGAATTTTTTTCTGTCTGTTTGAGAATGCATCACGAGAAAATCACTGGACAGATTTTGATGAAATTTTGCATAATAGTAGCTGCGTCAAAATAAAGAATACTTTTTACTGCGGGAAAATATCTCATTTTTGAGAAATCTGTACTAAACGTTAAAACGTATTATATAATAACTATAAATTAATGATAATGAAATATAAACTACACAATTATATGTTAATAACAATGTTGACCAATAGAATAATAATTAATAATAATAATAAAAAAAAAATATTAATTATAAATAAACTTGCTGTAACTTTAAATTCTTAGTAATTAAATTGATGTAAAGGAATCTAAAGTTTAAAAATAAAAGATTTCAAGCTCTTTTTCCATGCAGCCTATTTTTATTTAATTTCAACAACATTCGCATTCGTGAATATTGAAGATAAAAATTCGCATTCGCGAATGTGAAAAGTCGAATATTTCTTACTATTACTAATTAATATGTACAACTAGCCTAAAACCTATCAAATCAAATCATTTTTGTTATCACAGGTGCACAAAATAACATAGAAAGGTCTTAATTCTAGATTCAGATCTTTGTGATATACAATGAGTTATTTAACTAGTTAAAACTGTATAATACTCCTAATGTAACCTATTTAATAAGCAATTCAACATGGCCCTACCTTGGATTAGCTCATTTTGGCTATCTATAGTGGTAGAGATGGGAGCTCGCATGGGTATATCACTTTCATCCTCATGTGCAACTGGAAGTGGTTGTGGTAATGATAGTGAAGTGTCCTATCTCGAAGCAAACATCTCCACCGTGCTTTGAGTAATCCAAAACAGCGTTCAATGCAATTACGCGCTTGCACATGTTTTTGGGTATATAGTTCTTCTCTTGAACCTGGAACTGCATTGAGGATGGGAGTCATAAGCCAAGGGCGTTGTGGATATCCAGAATCACCTGAAAAAATGGTTTTTGTAAACAAAACAAACAAATTCTTCTACTACTACTTACTACTACTACTACTAACATATCAATTACATCTTTCATGTTATTTTTGTAAACACTTACCTAATAACCATACTTGTTCATTATTTTGATGAAGTTCACGCATGTATGATTCAGCTTTACTAGATGACCATATATGAGAATCGTGTGTAGCTCCACCAAACTTTGCATTCACATTTGTGATGCGAAGATGACTGTCACAAATCTGTAAAGTGAAACTAATATTCAGAAATGTTTTTATATTATTTTACCTGAAACAAGTCATAAATAAATACAATTACCATTTGAACATTTAATGAATGATACCCTTTTCTGTTATAAAAAACATGTTCTTCATCATTGGGCTTAACTAAAGCCACATGGGTGCAATCTATGCACCCGATTACACCAGGCAGACCAAATCTACTCTGAAACCTAAAACAATAAGTTATATTATTAAATGCATTACATGTACCTAAGAGTAAAATTGTAAATATATAATATGATACATACTCTTGTTTTACATGTCCTCTGTCTTGCCTTGTTTTCGGAAACACAATCCATTTTGCCATAATAGCGGGGTGGTTCAAAGCATCGACTACTTGTCGGATGCAGCGACTAGTTGTGCGTTGAGGAAGATTGTGAGTAATACCAACAATTCGTTGATAGGACCCTGTAGCCAGGAAACTAACTGCGCACAACACCTATAAAAGACAGCCAAAAAGAAATAAATAATAGTGATTGTTAGGGTTGTGTAGGCTTCGATAACTAAATGGACTGTTTGCTGGTATATATGTATTGTTTAACATTGAATTAAAATATCACATTTTTTGTACATTTAACAAAAGTCTTATGCAAGTTACACCATGCGTGCGTGTGTTCATGAACTCATGTAATGAAACAAAATAAATGGTAGGCTAGGCACATTTATTCTTGTACTTAAAACAGCAGAATTACATATTTGGCATATCTTACCTTAACTTCTAGTGGAATCTCATTGGATCCTTTTAAAGAAGTTTTCCGTCGTAGGTCTTGAACGAGGGCTTCGAAAGTCACTTTGCTTAACCGAAATCGTTGTATAAACAAAGTGCCCGACATTTCATGTATTGTTTCGATATACTGACGATATAAATCTCTTTGCCGGCGTTTTAACCACACTTCTTCGTTATGACCGGACCGCAACATATTTAAGGTATACATTTTATACATTTTAAATGCTAAAAGAAAATATAAATAGTCTAAAATCAACGCGAATTAACAAAACACTTCTGTCTTATAGCAGCTGTGAGCTGATTCTAAACTTTAAAGTTATAGACGCCACTTTTTTAGCGTTAACTCAAGGGTCTCGCCGTTCGTTTAGATAGCGTTAAAGAACTTAGATTTGAATTCTCAAGCGCTTGTCAAACGTGCAACTTGGCTACCATTTTGTATGAGATCTTGTGATCCACATTGTAGAATCGCTCAGTTCGTTTCTATTTTTAGAACGAACTATGTACCTTGTAAACTTGGCTACGAATTTTCAATTCGATCGTTTTGACCACGTGACATATCGTTCAAAATACGTAATGCCCATACATTTCATTAGTTTTCTAAATCGTTAACGATTGTAGATAGTCATCATGGCTAAGCCCCCAGTTCTACAAGAACTTTCGCCCAATACCAAAAACTCAGACTAAGAGAATGAGTTAGACGGAGCGTATATAAAGATAAATGACGCCAAACGAAACTTAAATGTTAGAAAGAAAATATTTACTTAGTAATTTTAATGTTTATTTTATTAGTTAACAATTTATTTGTTTTATTTTTATTATAAACAGGTAATTATAATTATAATTTAATTATTATTATTATATTATTATTTTCTTTTAGCTTGAGGATCAAACACATAAATAAATAAAAAAAAAACTTAACTTTTTTTTTTTTTTTTTTTTTTTTTATTGTACGATAGGTTTGCGCTTGACTACAATCAGCGTTGGGAAGCACTGATGAGGTCTAGGTTGGAGCGCGCTTGCCTAGAAAATGCCTATTCACTCTTGCCTTGAAAGTACTTAGATTATAAGTGGCAGGAAACACGTATGCTGGAAGGGTGTTCCACTCCTTAGCGGTTCGTTTCAGAAACGTAGAACTAAAGCGTTTCGTGCGAGTTGGTTGGATTTCTACCACATAAGGATGCCAGCGCTCACGACTTCTCGCAGTTCTGTGGTAAAACGGTGAAGGGGGCACAAGGTTGTGAAGTTCCTGCGCGCACTCTCCAAAGTATATCCGATAGAAGATCTTTTGACCAATTATGACTTCGAAACGTTATCTTGCAATTTTATAATAAAAAAAGTGTTAGTTCAAATACATAATACTCTTTTGATTTTATAAGTTAGGAGAACTCTCTGCTAATATCTGTTAAACTTACTGGATTACATGATTATTGGGGTATTAGTATGATAGGGTTGTTGAAGTAGCCACCTTTTTTTAAATAGATGAAGAAACTACTTGTTATTACAAGGTGGTTTTTGGTAGATATTTATATTTTTTCAAAAAAATACTTTTGTGGTTTTAGAACTTTTTATTTCATCGAAAGTATCTATATACCTACATATATTATGATATTCTCCAAACAGAGCTTGACTAAGTGATTATAAAACAGCAACGTTGTTTTTTTAAATATATTTTATATTTCGTAATCTCATCGAATTGTAATAAGAGAAATGGTTAACTTTTTTAAATAAAAATAATAATTTAAGTATCTCCAGGCTATTAGATGCACGTGTTCTAGTTCATAGTTCGTACCTCGCGCTACCTTTCGCTAGGCTTCGAACTAATTGCTGTTTTAACTTTCAACTAAGATTAGATTACGTTTTGATGACTATGGTATGTAATAGAGACTCGCAAAGCTATCGACATGGTACAATTACTAAGACAACACATTAAGTTTACCGCGATTTCATGAGAAATTATAATAAACATTTTTTTTATTTTGAAAACATTGTTTATAGGGTTAATAGTGTGTACTGTATGTATGTATTCAACCGTTTTTAACGTCCTACTGCTGGGCATGGGCTTCCCTTAAGTACAATGGGAATCAGGCCAGGTGTGTACAGTGTGGACTGGGAATGGGGATGCTGATATTATAAAAAAAAAATAATTCGAGTAATCACGATGTAAGAACTTAAATACAAGACTATAGTGGAAATTCAAAATATTATTTTATCGTTTTAAGTATCTTATTCGGTTACTAGCGGACCCGACAGACGTTGTCCTGTCTACACGTCTTTAATTTGAAAATTTCAAACTTTTTTTAATAATTTTTTTGATGAAAATTATTATTCAAATTGTGAATTTAAACCATTCCCAGATCCCCTTGAACACACAAAAAAAAATTTCATCAAAATCGGTCCAGTCGTTTGAGAGAAGTTCAGTGACATACACACTCACAGAAGAATTATATATATAAAGATTATATTTTCTGAACCTGCCATACAGACTACTGTTTTTTTTTAACGTTGGGAAATGCATTTACGCACGAGGTGTGAAGCAGAGTTTATACGAAGCCAGTCATGCTGGCGCCAGTCCTGCGACAAGCCAGTGTTGGCCTGGCCCCTGTTGTTTAGACGAGGCCATTTCATTCGCGGATTTTTCTTCGGGTGTGCACACGTTTGAAGTAAAAAATAATGATTTCGCGGCAAAGTCTATTGAAAAAAAAATGTTTAAGGAACATCTCTGCACTATTAAAAGAAGAGTTGATTGATATGTTAGAAAAAAAGAAAGCGAAACGACTTTGGATAAGAAAATGGTTAAGCGATAGACCTATAACTGGTGCTTCTGCCTTGTTGCTGAAACAACTAAGATTAGAAGATCCTTCTGAGTACAGGTTGGCGTTGCGGGTTACTGCTGAAAACTTTGATGAGTTACTTTCACTTATACAGAGCTCGATTCAGCGCCAAGACACCCTGATGAGAGATGCATTACCAGCAAAAATAAAATTAGAAGTAACGTTATCGTTCTTAGCAACTGGAATGAGTTATCGAAGCCTGAGTCATTTTTACCGTGTTTCCAAACCATCTATATCAAAATTCATACCAGAAGTTTGTCGAGCAATCTATGAAGCATTAAAACAGTTTATTAAGGTAAGAGTTTATTTATTTACTTAAAATTGAAATAATAAGGCACACATTTTTAAAAATACAACTAACATGTGATATTAAGCCTTATCGAAGGCTTGTTGAATGACATCACTGTTGTCTACGCTTTCGCCGTAACTTTCATAATTATATGTAGTTTCTGGGGATCCAATATTAGTAGTATACTGGGAACACGAAGTAGAACATGTCGATGGACTGGGCTCTGGAGGAGGACAGATTGTAGTTGTTGGCAGAGAGTATTGGGGTACTGTGAAGCTTGGAAGAACTTGTGTAGAATTCCAATTATTTTGCAATTGCATTTGACAAGAATACGCATTCTTGGCTCGTATATCTGTAAGCCTGCATTGTGTCAATATACTCTGTATCTTTTCCTTAGCAATGACTGCCTGTTCCTCTGTCAATTGTTTCAATTGTGCCGAGACGCTTTTTCCAAATAGATCTAGTTCTGTTTCTTCAACGCATGTGCTGTCGTTAATTTCTCTTAAGTCACTTATCATGTTAGATATTTGTGTTAACTTGCTCCGCTTAGGTTTTGTGGGTGGGGTAAATTGTGGTATCTCTTCTGCCGACTCATTTTCTCCATTTTCAGAGCGTGGAACCAACGATGGTCCTGATTCATTGCTATTCGATGATCCTGGTTCATTGCTATTTGGTGTATCCATGTTATTCTGTAATTAAACAAAATAAATTACTGTAATTGTAATGTTATAGTATGTTTGTGTCTAAAATTGTATTAAATAGGAGAGATTTTAATTACTATCCTTTTTTTACAGGTGCCAAATGCAGAAGAATGGAAAAACATCGAAAGGGGGTTTAAAACACGATGGAATTTTCCCTTATGTTATGGTTCTATAGACGGAAAACATGTGTCAATTAAAGCTCCTCCTAAAAGTGGAAGTTTATACTTTAATTATAAAAAAACAAGCAGCGTCGTATTGTTAGCTATTGCCGATCACGACTACTGTTTTTCGTACATAGATGTCGGCGCATGTGGTAGCGCATCTGATGGAGGAGTTTTTAAGAATTGTTCGATTTACCGAGACCTGGAAAATAACTTATTACCTGACAGTGGAGTCATTGTAGGAGATGCGGCATTTCCACTAAAGACTTATTTAATGAAGCCGTATCCAGGTGTAAACCTCAGTACAGAAGAAAAAGTTTTTAACTACAGATTATCTCGGGCAAGACGCATAATCGAAAATGTATTTGGAATCTTAGTTAGTAGATTCCGGGTATTAGAAAAGCCAATACTGACTAACTTGGAAACAGTAGATGCAATCGTTTGTGCTTGTTGCGCCCTTCATAATTGGCTACGAAAAAAAACAATGTCTTACATCACCGTTACTTGTGTTGATAGGGAAGATGAACAGGGAAATTTTCTGCCCGGTTCATGGAGGAGTCAAATACATGCCCTACAGAGTATTGGCAATCAAGGTTGCAATCATTCAGCAGACACAGCAAGGGAGAAAAGGGACATTTTGAGAAATATGTTTAATAATGAAGGAAGAGTTCCTTGGCAATTAAATAGCATACATTAACAATCGACCTAGAAAATAAACATTGAAACGAAAATACATTTAAATGTACATACAAACATACATACACTGATCAAATACATAACCTTCTTTTGTTGTGACATGTACCTGACGAGTAGTTGTGTATCTGACAAAACGCGTATCTGTAAATGGCTTTAAAAGTTGCTTAAATGTAAATTTCGTTTAAAATAAATAATAATGTGATTTTACTTACTATGGTTTTTCTCCTTATAGTAATCGGCTTTACAAACGAATCATATTCATCAAACCATTTTGCCTTTGGCTTATAAACGCTCCCCCCAGCCCCAGACCTCGTAGATTTTTCGATTTTGTCGAGTTCCAAGTAGTAAGTATTTCGAATACTTTTGATTTTTGATTTAACTTCATTGATAGTAAGTCCATCTATATTCATTCCTAGACGAAGTTGTTCTAGTGCTGAAGTGCGCATTTCTTTATTTTTGTATGCATCACAACGTTTATCCCACAAGCATTCGTGCTCTCTATAAAGTTGTACGAATTTTAAAGTATCCTCTTCATTGAATTTTCTCGACATTTTGTCGCAGAGTTCCGAATAAAAAACTAAAACATACACACCGTATAGACGTTCGCCAGTGACTGCGAGAAGCGTCTACACGTGTCCGCAACGCTGGCGCGGGGGTCGAGGGGTATGCGGGCGGAGGTCACTGGCTAGAAAATAGGCCGGCGCTCTATTCACGCCAGCGTTGGCTGCCAGCACTGGCTTGGCTTGAAAAACTGTTTACACAAGGCAAATGCCACGCCAGCGCTGGCTGCCAGTCTTATTGGCAGCCAGCGTTGGCTTCGTATAAACTATACTTGAGACTCACCGGCAAAGCCAGTACTACCCACTAAAACCCAACAAAACCTTCCCCCGTCTTAACGGGGCGTCGCAGGATCGCTTACGCATTCAACTACGACGCCCCGACGGCAGGTCTGCCGAAGCAGACCACAACAACCACAGGGTTGCTCCAAGCTCCACTCTGCTATCAGAAAAGTACCAAGAGCAACCCGCATGCTACACCGCCCTCCGAAGAGGGCCGCCTCCCACCGCCCACCGAAGTGGGCCACCTCCCTGTGCGTTTCTTGGCTTCGCGCCCGGCTGGATTGCCGGGCACTAGTGTGCCCCCCCCACCACGACAAGGTGAACGCACGTTGGGGGGGGGGGGGGGTTCAGACTACTGTTGCTGTAAGATTATGATTTTATATAAATAGTATTAAAACATTGAGATATTTTCGAGATTAAAAGTTTCACGCCTACGGAATTTGTACGGCAACATGTAGAAACGCAGCGTCAGGCTGTTCTCGAATTCGTGTACCTAAACAAAAAATCATAAAAACAAAGTTTAAAAAAAATGTCCCACTCTGAACGGAACCCTTTACAACAGTATACGTAATAATGATTTTTTGTATATTTTAGATGGCTGATAATAAAAATCAACAGATCAGCATGGCTGCAAGCGCCATTGCTATGCGGGGGGTACGCTTGTTTCTAAGTGCGGGGAAAGCCGCGGCGCAGCGCCGGGCTTCCCCTCCACGGTCTCGTCGAGTCAAGACGGTCATTCCTGTGAACAAGTTGCAGCAGTGTGTTGTTGAAGTATTGTTGAAAGCTACAAAGTTTAACAAGTGAGTTATTAAGCAAATTGTCTTGTAATTCTTGTTTTGTCATTTTTTCTTATCTTTATAATTCTTCAGTTCATGTCCGGCACCTCTATTTCGAATCAGATCTCTCACCGAATTTAAAATTGTCGTAAAGCTCTTATAGTAGGAGTATTAGGTTTAACACCTCTAGGTAAATTTCTAAGAAACTAATTAAATTTCTAAGAAATCTATTGTTAACTGACACGCCGGCGTGTCCGCGGTCGGGGAGGGATTAAAACAAAAAAGTAGTACTAAGTTTAAAATTTAATAAAAATACCAAAAAATCTAGTACAATTCAAGTGAACTATTTAAATGAACACGGACGTCTGAAAACGTGCATTTGTATAATTATTATAGTTCCTTTAGAACGATCCTAAAGTTTATGTGCGAGGAGTTTAAACACGCGAAAAATAAATTATAATGCTGCAGTAATTTGCAGTAAAGTTTTCATAGAAAGGTAATTAATTAATTGAAATCTATGTAGTATGTAGGCAGATTTGGCCATTTAGGAACCATTATTCACAGATGGTATAAGTCATCTAAAATAATATTAGATATATCTTCTTCTTTTTTTTCTTCTTCTTTTCGATTCGATTTTTTTCTGCGTGAAGCACTTTTGCAATGTGTCGAAAGGTTATTGCAAAATTTGAACATTCGATGTCCTAGATTGCATGGACTTTTTCATTTGAGTTGCTCGGTAAGGATTGCTAGGTTCTCTCAGGTGTGCAGATTTGTTCATGATGATTTCCTCCACCATGAGGCAAGTAGTAGTCATGTAGAAAATGATCCGGACATGAAAATATTAGAGGTGTTGCCGGGATTTGAACCTGCTTCACTCGGTTTCTCACGCGAGCGCGTTACCACTGGGCAACCACTGCTTTCAATACATATAATAAGACAGGGCTACAACTAATCGCTTTGCCTATAATGAATTAGTCATAAAAACCAAAATTACCGTATCTATCTCGTGTCAAATCAAAGTACATATCAGAGATATTGGCGATACTGGAAATTTTATCAATTTATTATTTTATATAGGTATTTATTTTCAAGAACATTTTGTGATAACGAAAAAAGATATATTGATTTAAAAGTATGTTTAATTTATTTCAAGGAGCTAATCTCTAGAACCTATTACATTTCTATACTAATAATAATATAATAATAATATTTTTCTAATATTATAAAGAGGAAAAATTTGTTTTTTTGTTTGTATCGAATAGGCTCCGAAACTACTGAACCGATTTAGATGAAATTTGGTGAGAAGATAGTTTGAGACCCTGGGAAGGACATAGGATTGTTTTTCAAATCATCCCTTAAGGGGGTGAAAGTTTGTATGGGGACTCAACCTCGGGACGAACCCGAGCAAAGCAAGGGTGAATCGCTAGTGAAATATACATATCCATAATTTCATAAGATTTGCAGATGAATAAAGGGCTTTAACTCTCAAAATGAAACGAGGTCAATGTAATACAATCGCAAGCAAAACTTAGTTATCAATATCTACGACTGTAAACACTATTAGATAAGCAATCATAGATCGACATACAGTAGCTTGTGAAAATTTGGAGGCCCTGTTGTTACGACATCAAACGTTTAGGGCAATTGTCCTCAAAATTCTGTTAATGCCACCCTGTTTACTGCCTTGTCAGTTGAAAAAGCTCCGCGTCCGTGAAAGCACGCACCATGCCGTATCGACAGCTTAAAGAAAAGACGCTAGATACGTTGTATAGATCCACGCATTTCAGCAAGTGAGTCGGGCATGAGGAAACTATGAATTTTTACTAATATTATTAATGCAAAATTTTGTTTGTTATTTTGTCAATTACCAACTTCAAAGAGGAAATAATTTTTGTGGATATTTTGCTAATCGTGGGGGGATTTTGAAAAAAAAAATAGATTTTTTTGAATATACGTATACTCAAAGTCGTTATTTAAAAGAATAAAAAATCTAGTTCTACGATTAAGGGTGGGATAAATACTTTTAAGTCAACACAAATTTTTGTTAAAAGTAATTTACAATACAAAAGTATTTTAAATAACGCAAAGGCGCAACAGATTGACGTTATATTTGTAAAAAGTTTTTTTATGGGCCTGAAATTACAAATTTAATAATATCTTCTTACTACGAGTATTTATACAATTATACAATTATTCATTCACAATAATTTAATAATTAATTATATCAAGAATAATAATAATTATTCGTTTCGGTAGGTAAACCATACTAATATTATAAATGTGAAAGTGTGTTTGTTTGTTTGTTTGTTTGATTGTTTGTTTGTTTGTTTGTTTGTTTGTTTGTTTGTTTGTTTGTTTGTTTGTTTGTTTGTTTGTTTGTTTGTTTGTTTGTTTGTTTGTTTGTTTGTCTGTCCTCCTTTCACGTCAAAACGGAGAGACAGATTGGCGTAAGTTTTTGTGTGGAGATAGTTGAAGGGTTGGAGACTGACATAGGCTACTTTTTACCGCGGGAGATTTATTTCATTTCATTTATTTCTTTTTTTTTATGATTAGAATTACTTGAAACTTGGTATTAATGCTCTTCAATAAAATTAAATAAATACGTGTTTTAGCATTTTTCGAAATTCATCCTACAAGAGGGTAAAATAGGGGACGAAAGTTTGTATGAAACTACGCTTTTAGAGATTTTATGTAGTTTTAGCGCGAACAAAGCCGCGGGTTCTGCTATTGATTACATATATACGAAATGTGAGTAATTATTACCAACCGAAATAAATTGTAATTGATTATTAATATAATTATTGTAGACAAATTAATAAAAGCTAAAGTTTAAAGCTTAAGTATTTATTTATTAATATTTTATTTGAAGTTTATCTATGAAGCAAAATATTTAGTATTTTTTTTAAGAAATAGATCATTTACAGTTATTAATACACGTATAATTTATTCTTACTACCTTTAATACTAACTTGTACATTTTGTTTCAAATAATTTCTATAAACAAGTAAGTGCAAAATGTTTATTTGTTTTTTTTTTGTTTAAGTTCCTTAAAATTAGGTTAACTTATGGGTACTTACCTATAATATTAATTTTTAAAATACCAAAAAAAAAAATATGTCATACCAACATAATAATTATATTCTGTAACTAGCATTGCCCGCGGCTCCGCCTGCGTTCAGATTATCAAAAACCAAATTCTTAGGTTTTACATATTAGTATACTCTTACAATGCAGTTTTTGTATTTTTTCTCAGAAATGAGATGTTTTCCCGCGGTAAAAAGTATCCTATATGTTGACCCGGATAACTTCATCAAAATCCCTCCAGTAGTTTTTCTGTGATGCGGTAACAGACAGACAGACAGACAAAAATTCTAAAAACTATAGATTCGGCCTTTGTATCGATAATAATGTCTATTTCAGTAAGATTTTCCAAAAAATATTTTATGCACAGATTCGGCTTAGTTACAATTTTATTATATGTATAGATAATCTTAATTGACTGCCTATTACGGTTGAAAGAAAACACCTCTTGAAAGCTAGGGTACATAGAGTAAGCTTAGTACCTAACACTAGGATTCCGGCTAGACACTTCCGGTACGGAATCCTTTAATTAAAAGCTAAATCTACTATTACTAATAACTCTTAAAAAATCGTAGAAATGAATTGGAGTCACTGTTCACGATCTACCGAAAGTTAGTGACATCTGCTCAGAACGCTGCCCCTGCGTCTGTCATTGGACAATCTGCTGCTAAAGTTGATGTGAGTATCAAACTATTTGTATTCTGTAATGTGAGTTAACTAATATAAAATCCATTATATACCAGTTTTTAGGGGGGCTCGAACCTGCGACCGCTGGCACAGCAAGTAGGTTCACTACAAACTGAGCCAAACGTGTCGTATATCAAAATAATTGTATCTTTAAATTTTTGAAGATATAAGTCTAGGTCATTTTGTGGAATCTTACTATATATGCTAGTATATAATCAAAGCAGGTCTATACGAAGCAATCCAATCATATTCGTATGTTCTAAACACATTGTGTTATTGCCTTTTTATGATATCCGAAGAAACTTTATGATCGTAAACTAGCAAAATATGTAATAGACATGAGGACGCACGCAATACTAAACACCTTTTTGGGGAAAATTTCGCTATATCGTGACCAATTACGACACTAAAACCAAGTCAGACATTCTCATTCTCATATTTAGGACAGATTTTCCATTTGTTTTTATTGCGTCGATGTATGTAGCATGTTTAGTTTGAATAATTTATTCATATAACTTATTTATATACCCACACTTTTATATGAGTGACGTACATACGGTTAAAACATTGTACGTTATAGCGTAAGCCTAAGCTTTCTTTTGATAAAAATAAATCTCTTTTTAATAAAAAAAAACATAATTATGATTAATTCACAGCATATCTGTAATAAATAAAAACTTTTTTGGCGTAAGTCCATACTAATATTATAAATGTGAGTGTGTTTGTTTGTGTGTTTCTTTGTCTTTCCTTCACGTCAGTACGGAATGACGGATTGGCGTGATTTTTTGTGTGTAGATAGCGGGAGGGCTGGAGAGTGACATAGATAGGCTATTTTTTATCGCAGGAGATAATCTCATTCCCACGGGAAAACATGTTATAATACAATTCAAAAAATATTTATGATCAGAATTATTTTAATTATATTAACTTGGTATTAATGCTTTTTAATAAAATTAAATAAATACGTATTTTAGCATTTCTCGACATTCAACCTATAAGGGGATAAAATAGGGGATGAAATTTGTATGATATATATTTCTTTTAGAGACTTTTATTGTAGTTTTAGCGCGAGCGAAGTCGCGGGTTCTGCTAGTATGTAATAATTGTGTCTTTAGTCTTTAACATTCTTACAACTCGTTAATAAATATTTTGACAGGGCATAGATCAGAACACTTTCCGCGATGTAATGCACAACACATTCGATCTAGTTACTGAAGACGTTATATTAGACCGTGTGTGGCTCACGTGGGAGAGAGGGGCGAATGGAGGAGAAGGAGCGTTGAAATTTGAAGCCTGGGCTAGAGGCTTGAGCGTTCTTCTGAAAGGTTCTGATGAGGAGAGACGAAGTCACTGTTTTGTTGTATACGATCTTAATGGGGATGGATTCATCACAAGGGATGAAATGTTCACGTTACTCAAGTAAGATATTTACGTTCACATTTTAGCTTTAATTGTGTAACTTCCTTAGATTTATGAGAATTCGTATTGTTTCGTAGATTTACGTCTAAAACTATTACGTCTAAAACCGTAATATCTCCTATGACCATGATTGCTGTAAAGTATCTAAAACATGGGGAAGAAAAAATCAAAATAAATCCGCGAAAGAATCCGAAAAGATTAATAATATAGTACATAGTTTTATTTAATCTACATATGTGTAAATATATGTTTTTTTTATTATTGCAATCAATTTTCACTTCATGGATTTTAAGACTTTTTTTAATGAATAGTGTTATACTAAAGTGTGGTCACATGTAGAAAAAATCTACTATACGGTTATACCTGTTCAGTATAAAGTATATTGGCGATGGTATTGAAAATGAGATTTGCAAAAGAGTTTTTATATACCTTTTTATAAACTTCGGAAGCAATTTTTTGCATGAAATAATACATTTTTAGTTCTTTATTTTTCTTGTTGTTACTCCATTTGTCTTTTTAATAGGTATTTTGACGTTCGAATAGAAACATTTGCAGTGACATTTAAATAGCAGCATTTTCTTATCGTGTAGCATTACTGTGCCACAAAAGTTTACGATAAGGTTCCTATTAAAGTAGTAAAAGAATATTTTGAACGTTGCAATGTTTAATACACCTTTAGTTCATCCGTAAAAGTTTATCATGTCATACTTTTATAAAGCTTTGTAATAGCTTTCTATAGCGTAGTATTTATTCTACGGGGCCTTAAAACTTTGATTGAATGATGATTATGTTTTTAACAAAAATTTGAAGAGGCTGTAGATTTTATTCCCATTGCCTTTTACGTATGAAACAAACTTATTAAAAAGAATAATATTAAATTACATACCTATTGTGTTTCATTAGCAATATTTATGCTCTCTTTAACCATTAAGCTCGAGCGTAATACATTTAATTCTTATTCAATTAAATGATTTTATTTCTCATCGTTGACTGACTTTATTTTCGATCGAATTAGATAAAAGGTAATATTAAAAACCCTTTCTCATAAAGTCACATCATTAAATTCGGTCAGATATTATCTTCTGCACACACAATAGCAAGAAACCACAGATGACATGAAATCGAAAGGTAAACTATGGATATGTACTTTTTTATTAGGGTTCCACTTCCGTACCCGAAGGGTGCCAACGGAACCTTATTACTATGCCTCCGCTGTCCGTCCGTCCGTATGTCAGAGTGCTGTAACTTATGAACCGTAATAGGAACAGAGTTAAAATTTTCACAGAGTAGGTATATATTGCTATTGCCGCTATAACAACAAATAAAAAAAATAAAAATACAAGAAACATTTTTTAACGTTCATAATCGATCATCGAAGTTAATATACTACATATATTGAGTAAAAATCATATTAATAAAAAGTACATATACGATGGTACGGAACCCTCCGTGTGCAAATTCGACTCGCACTTGACCGATATTTATTTAATTTCATATGCATTTAGTAAAAAGCTGTTATTTTGACATTACAAACAGACACTTTAATTTTATTTATCTGTATAGATATTTTGTATATTTGGCATATGATGTGACTGTTTTATTTTAAGGAATTCCCTGTTGAAGCAACCGGGCGATGAAGACCCAGATGAAGGTGTGCGAGATTTAGTCGAATTGGTATTACGGAAGATGGATATAGACAAAGACGGAAAATTGTCTATCGATGATTACAAGTATGTATCATCTATACATATAATAAAATTGTAACTAAGCCGAATCTGTACATTAAATATTTTTTGGAAAATCTAACTGAAATAGACATTATTATCTATACCGAGGCCGAATCTAAAGTTTTTAGAATTTTTGTCTTTCTGTCTGTCTGTGACCGCATCACGTAAAAACCACTGGAGGGATTTTGATGAAATTTTGGTATGATGATAGCTGGTCATCCGGGTCAAGATACAGAATACATTTTACTGCGGGAAAATATCTCAATTCTGAGAAATCTATACTAAAAGTCAAAACGTAAGTAGGGACGAACCCGAGCGGAGCGAGAGTGAGTCGTTATTGTACTTTATGTTCTATTCTCTTACGACCAACAACTAGTTAATCTTTAACTAACTTGGTATCTGTCGCGGTCGTCTACTTCTAGTGCGGACTTTTATAATTATTAAAATAAATGAGATGACAATAGCACTCCCAAAAAGTGTTGGTGTTGGTGGCAGGCAGGCGGCTGATCGTAAATTTTTTGCCAAAACCTATCAGCAATACGGAATATGTACTGCGCTGACTCCAAGTGACTTGACGACACGTTTGGCTCAGTTTGTAGTGACTCTATTGCTGTGCCAGCGGTCGCGGGTTCGAGTCCCGCTGGGGGTATTCATTTGTGTGATGAGCACGAACATGTACTCAAGTCATGGGTGTTTATATTTATAATATGTATGTATTTAAAGTTATGTATGTGTAATGTATCAACTATCTGGTATCCATAGCACAAGCCTCGTAGCTTACCATGGAACTAGATGGCGCTGTGTGTTAATGTCCCAACATATTTATTTATTTATACATATACTCGTATGAAGAATTCATTTTACTCATTTTTTTCATAAGAAGATTAGCGGTCGATTAAGATAACCAGCTATTAATAATTAAGAAATAACTCGCAATTATTCATTGACAAAATATTATTGAAAACACCAAATTCTTTTAAAACTAACAAGAGTGAGAGAGATTATTTTTTCTAATTATCCTTGTAACACTAACGTAATAATGTAATATGTATGTATATATATATATATATATATATAGGTAATTTATTTCTTGTTTCCTACATACATTGTACGAGTAATAAATAGCTCATTGAGTGTCGACTAGTTGGTATCTTTTGTCAACCAATCGCTTTTTAATCAACAGTAGAGTATACTTAAATATGGTCAGACAGGCTTTCCCTATTAGTTGACAACTATACGATCCATACTCTAGTTCTTAGCCATTGTCATCATCATCATCTCCCTGCGCATTTACCAATCACTTTTTTTCGTCGTCGTATGTATTTATTTTTTATATAGAAAGAACGAAAATAATTTGATAACTTATATTTTATATAATTTAGGCAAGCAGTTCAACAAGAGCCTCTGTTGTTGGAAGCATTCGGACAATGTCTGCCGTCGAGACGACACGCAGCGGCGTTCTTGAAAACATTACTTAATAAATAATTAAAATGTTCTTAGTTATTAGATCTTTAGATGTAAGTACATTAAGGCAAGTGCCATGAAGGAAAATATATAAAAACTTAAAGACGCAAAATTATATTTCAGATGTCCGCGAAAAAAAAAATAATGTTCCAAAATAATATTACAGATATTTAAAATAAAGTATTATATTTATGTAAAAAAAAGTAATTAATTTAAAATCATTCAAAGATTAGTAAAAAGTTGAAAGTTTAGAAGCAGATGGCACCCTTCTGAAAATAATTCTGCCCGCGCCAAGTTTAAGTCTCGGATCGCGCATCTCTGATAATTTCATGTGCATATTATATTAGACGTTAGGCTCAGTTTGTACTGAACCTACTGCTGTGCCAGCGGTCGCAGGTTCGAGTCCCGCTGGGGGCATTCGTTTGTGTGATGAGCAAAAATGTTTGTAAGTACTCCAGTCGTGGGTGTTTATATTTAAATATGTATTTAAAGTTTTACATGTGTAGTGTATCAACTATCTGGTATCCATAACACAACTCACAAGCCTCGTAGCTTACCATGGAACTAGATATAATACTATGTGTTTAATATCCCAACATATTTATTTATTTATATATTTTGCCTCGTTGTATTTATTACCTGATAAATAGTAAAATATTCATGAACACATTTAAGATTTAAAAAGACTACAATAATATATTTATTGTACATTAAATTGTAGGGTTTTACTCAATTGTCACGTTCAAAAGCCATTAACAAGTAAATTAAAAATATTCATTCAAAAAATATAATGTAAGGAATATTTGTATGAATATAAAGATAGAAATTTGCGATTGAAATCGTAGATACAATGCTGTAAATGATAATCAGGACGTGTTAAATTTTCTAAGATCGATTAATTACATTTAGCAAAGTTTTAAACTTTGATAAGTATACTATTATTATAATTATGTGTTATCTGTAAATAAAATAATTTGTTTATCACAATGACCGTTTATTCGACTAGTATGTATATAAGTAAAGGTCAACACACAGCGTCCATTTTTGAGAGCTTATAATTATTTAATTAAATAAGAACGACATATTGATAACGACATAAAAATAGCCCCTCGCCGACATTATTAATATTTACAACATAAATTCCTACACATATATAATTTAAAGTAACAATTAAAAAAATTACACAGATAATACAAATTAGAAAATATTCATATTTGTTCATTCTTTACTATTTTCTCTTACACGAAGAGATCAAATAATTAACCTAATGGAGTAAGAAGTTAATTGTGTGCATCGACACCGGTGTTGAAGAACTCGTTCCAGGCGCACGCTGCTGGGAAAGGTATTAGGCGGTAGATATACTGTAAAAAGTATTTTATAGGTTACTTGTGTTAATTATTACTTGAAATGTATAAGTTTTGAGATAGAAGTATAATATTACACTACAACACTAAATACTATAAGAACTAATAAATTTTATATGCATATGTAGTATGTACATAATTTATACTTATAAATTTTTTTCCTTAGCTTTTGAAAGTAGAATTTGTAGCTTATAAAATAAAAAAATATCATTTTGACTGACTTGACCCACTAATTTTTAAAAAAAATAATTAATTTATTTTTGGTTTAAAAAATTTTTTTTTCTATATTTGAAAACATTCAAGAATTGATGAATATAGTCAGTTTCTACTCAACTTTCACTGTAATACAAAAAAAGAACATGTTATTTTTTCAACTTTTTTAAAATTGCAATAATGGTCAGATTTTTTTTTATTTCGTTCATAACTTTTAATTGAATTTAAAGAATACACTACAGTTTCTAAAACAATTCCATGATTTTTTAAATTAACAATAAATAAATAAATTATTAATTTAAAAATAAGTGGGCCACTCCAAAACGTTGAGTAAACATTTTTTTCTTTTTCAAATTTTTTTTTTTATAAGCTATAAGTGTCAAGCGCTACGATCTCTACATCATTCATTCATCTCTTCATATAGGCTCCGTTCGGGGCTGACAATCTTTTTTTTAATTTATTTATTATTCAACCTTTTGTACAATAATATACCTAAGCTTCTCATTATGAAGGTAGAGAAAAAAAATGATTGAAAATTAGAAAGATATTTTGGTAAACTTACTCTATTCATAAAATGTAGCTCAGGTGGTATAGTGATTTCAACTATGTCCCGTCTCACAGCGTTGACGATCATGTCCGCCGCCTCACCCGCGTCTACCACTTTCATTAGACTCTCGAAGCGTATGCGTGGCTTCTTGCACAAACCAGTGTCTACTATGTAGGGGCAGATAGTCGTAAATTTGATCTGTAAAATGTAAAAAGGGCTTTGTAAAAGCCAAGCTTTAATATTTCATTAGCGACTTCTCTCACTTCAAACGGGTTTATCCCAAAATCAGCGTGCCGAAGATAGTTTGTGTTACTCCAGGTACTATATGTATATTAAACGTCATCCAAACCGTCAAATCGTTTCAGCGTGTAGAAATAACAAACATACATACACACATATATAAAAGTGTTTGCTTTACATATAATCTACATGACCGATTAAAATAATATGTTAATATGTTTTTAATCTCAACTAATAATCTGTAAGATAAAATGTTGTGGCATGCATTACAATCTGTCAATATAAGGGTAATGCGTCGTATTAAAATGTAAACAAAACCATAAAAAATGTCTTTGGCAATAAACCCTTGGCCTATGTTTAACAGCGATAAGGCCAATAGGTAAAAGTGTATACTTAGTTTCATTTTTATTGTACGGTACTCAAGTTTATCCAGCGCAAAATGATATATTACAAATATTTATTTTGTAGACAGATATTATAAAATTTTGTAAAAGCGCGGTATGGATCTGACAATCATAGATCCCTGTAATAAAAATCAACAATATCCACAATAGATTAGATGGCTTTATATCTTTGTAGAGAAAAAGATTTTTCTAGATAAAAGAGGAGGATAGGCAATTTTATAGGATATACTAGCATTGCCCGCGGCTCCACCCGCGTTCAGACGACCAGGTTTTACATATTAGTATACTCTTACATTACAGGTTTGTATTTTTTCTCAGAAATGAGATATTTTTCCGCGGTAAAAAGTATCCTATATGTTGACCCGGATAATCAGCTAGGACCATACCAAATCTCATTAAAATCCGTCTAGTAGTTTTCCGATAATAATGATTATTTCAATAAGATTTTCCAAAAAATATTTGATCTCGTACACATTTGATTCATTTAGAATTTTATTATATGTATAGATTTTTAGTTTTAACGCACCGGAGCCACGAGTGTAGGCTAGCTAATTAATGTAAGTGAATACTAACATAAAGCTTAGCAAAATTAAACTTTTTATAGTTTGATTGTTTTATAAAAGTTATAATTTTATTAAGATTTACAAATATAATGTATAATAAATACGTTTAAGATGGCGAATCCTAAGAAAATGTCCAATTATTATTGTTATTATTTCAGGTATTATTATATGTGTGCGTGTGACTATTGCATGCGGTTGAAGTAAAACTTCTTTGGGGCTGTGGCAGATACCACAATTAAATTAAAACAAATCAATAATCAAATAAAGCATATTAGGTATATTATAATCATATATTTATAGAATATCATATCATATCTATATCATATCTATACATATAATATAATTGTAACTAAGCCGAATCTGTACATTAGATATCTTTATATATATAATTCTTCTGTGAGTGTGTATGTCACTGAACTTCTCTCAAACGACTGGACCGATTTTGATGAAATTTTTTGTGTGTGTTCAAGGGGATCTGGGAATGGTTTAGATTCACAATTTGAATAATAATTTTCATCAAAAAAATTATTAAAAAAAGTTTGAAATTTTCAAATTAAAGACGTGTAGACAGGACAACCTCTGTCGGGTCCGCTAGTTTTTTATAAAATCCTATTGAAATAAACATTATTATCGATACAGAGGCCGAATCTGTAGTATTTAGAATTTTTGCCTGTCTGTCTGTTACCGCATCACAGAAAAACCAATGGAGGAATTTTGATGAACTTTGGTATGGTGATAGCTGGTTATCCGGGTCAACATACAGGATACTTTTTACTGCGGAAAAATATCTCATTTTTGAGAAAAAATACAAAAACGCAATGTAAGAGTATATTAATACGTAAAACCTAAGAATTTGGTTGTAGATCATCTGAACGCGATCAATGCTAGTAATATTATATATTTTTCAGACAATAACAACAGTTATCATGGCAACATGGCAATGTATTCTATCTTATTCTCTCGCCGGCTCCTATATATTTGTGTTTGTCTCTTTTTGGTGTCGTTTCTTCGTTTCAAGTTTCAAATCACAACGATTCTAAAAAAGTTTCACTACAACAATAACATCATTTTTATCAAGTTTTATAACGCCTTTATTAGGCATTTACATTGAACCAAGACCATTTGTTGTCTTATGTAAGTAATGTGTTACATATTCAGAAACTAAAAGAATAAGCAGTAGTGCTAATTTCATACTTACGTTTGAATTCTAAGCTTCATAAATTTTTTTTAATTCTCTTATGTAAATATTATAAGCAAAAGTTTTTTTGAAAGTTAATATTTAGTATATAGTAACCGTCAATAAACGAGAAACCATTCATTAGATGAATTTTGGTAATAAGATAGTTTGAGACCCTGGGAAGGACATAGGGGGTGAAAACGATGATGAAATTTTGTATGGGGAATCAACGTATAAATTTTTATATAAAAAAATCTTACCCCAGTCAGATGTCTAGGATCGTCTCTCATTTCTATAGCTAAAGCTTCCATGATCCCTCTTACTGCGTACTTAGAGCCGCAATACGGGACGAGGTTGCGAAGACCCATCAGACCCGCCATTGACGACATGGCGACTATGTGCCCGTGGTTACGCGACATCATCGCTGGGAGGAAGGCTTGGATTGTCTGTGATTGAAAATAATAAAGAAACAGATAATATTATGACAGATATTTTTACTCATGACAAACATTCACAAAAACTGACACACACATATACATACACATCTCATTGAGACAGCTTACCCAAATTAAGTACATCACAATGAAACGGTTTTGCACTTCCCCAACAGATTCACCTATAAAGTACCTATGAAATCTATTCAATTAACTAACATGTATGGCCGTAGATCTAGAAGTTCTGGGATCGAGTCCCGGGTTGGGTCATGTATAGTTATTGAGTTTTTCTGTTCAGATATTGTCAGTAACAACCAGGAGGTGGAAAGTTGGATGTATCATCATCGGTCCTACGCCTGATCTCTCACTGGTAGTTTGAAATCGATTTCGTCCCACTGAGGATTGAGAGCGAAAGGAATAGAGAGTGTACTTGTGTTCGCACGCCTACTTGTACCCTATAAGATATCCTGTGGAGATGGCTAATCTCAGTAATTGGTGGTCATGGTAAAATTGGTCAGAAGACCATAATAATTATTACGTATTAATTATAGTACTCACCCAAAGGTTACCATTAATATTGATATCGTTCATCAGTTTGATTTCCTGCTCAGTTTGTTTCAGGACAGGATTGCAAGGCATTATGCCTGCGTTGTTGACGAGTATGGATACGTCTCCAACTTCACGTTTTACTTTTTCAGCCATCTGCATTACTGCTGCGCGGTCTGTTACGTCGCATCTGAGAATTATATTATATCAAAAATCGGTGAAGTGAGAGTCGGATTTACATATCGAGGGTTCCATTATAATGTATTTCTGTTATGTACCACACTAATATTATGTATGTGATAATTTGTGAATGTGTATATTTGTTACATGTAAGTAGTAGAATAGATTTAGAGTAGATAGAAACTTGCCACATACATATTTTATCTTTTTATCCATAGTAATTTTTGTATCCCCAAAAACATTTTAACAATGTTACCAGCTCGTATTAGTATAATAATAAAAGTACCTACTTAATTTTTAAACAACGAATAGCCATAAAGCATGGATTTAATTCTCATTTAGCGAGTTTTTTTTTTTGCTTTTTTTTACTTCGAAAAGTTGTTAAAAGTAGTTAGGAGTAGTACTTTGTAGAAAGCGAGGGTGGGTGGCTATCACTGACTTCCTAAAGGGATATACGTTGGACTGGTATTTTTTTTGTATGTATGTACATATTGTGCTGCTTTTATTCCGAGATCTGAGGACCAATTTGCGTGATTCTTTATTTAAAGTAATTCGTGCAGTTATTCCATACGAATATGGTAATGATGACGAGATCCGGAGATAAATGACTAAAGTAAATTGGCATACAGTTATAAGTATAAAGCAAAAATAATATTATTTTGCATTGTAGTGGTTTACTGTTTTTAACCAAATTCCAAAAAGGAGAAGGTTCTCAATTCGTCGGAATCTTTTTTTTATGTATGTTCACCGATTACTCGAAGACGCCTGAACCGATTTGGAAATATTTTTTTTGTTTCAAAGGGTATTGTACTTCCTAGGTGGTCTCATATAAATTTTATCGAAATCAATTGAGCGGTTTTTAAAAAAATCAACAATAAATATATTTTTTAAATAAATTGTTTAATCGAACATGTTATTAAAAAACTTTGTTCTTCCAAATTACCTGCTTATTACGTCTACACTAATGACCTCAATGCAGAAACAAAGAAGTAAGTAAGGAAGATTTCCAAAAAAAATACTAACACGTAAGTATGAACTCTCCCTTTTTCTTGCTTTATCATCTTTGCAGTTTCTTCGTTCCCGTTTTCATTAATATCCACACATACCATGGTTCCTCCGAGTCTGGCAAAACGGAGAGCCATCTCCCGACCCATACCATGACCTGCTCCAGTAATCTATAGCAAAAACAAGTTTATACTTATTTAAATACTGTACTGTTGAGTAAACCTTTGGAACAAGAGTGATGTCTGGGGTTCTCGGCCGGGCGAGCACCCCCCCCCCCATTCTCTCCACTCCCTTCTCCTCCACTCCCCTCCTCACCACGACAAGGTAAACGCACGTTAAGGGGAGTATGTAAAGTACCTAGCCTAACACTTCAAACTGTAAGACCCCGTTACATTCTACAGTATTGAGATTTACATACAAAAATATCATCCAAATATTCCACTTTTCCTGTAGATTTTCTAACAAGTTTCTTTTACCTAAACCCTGTGTTGACAACTACGATCAAAATAAGAAGGAATTAGCCAAATCAGTCGAGCCGTTCACAAGTGATACTCCGTCGTACATGCAGTATTTTATTTTTATATGTATAATATAAATTAACATAAAGAAATAAATTGCTACAGGTACAATTATTGAAGATGAGGAAAATATAATACAAGTCATGTAATTAGGTCGAGGCGTACTATGGTTTTCCACGAACTCGCTTATGAGCCATGTTATGGCTAAGTTATATTGCTATGATTAATTTATATTATCTACAGACTACACCATTTTTATTCTTTTCTTTATTTGTGATTGTTGAACGCTACTTTTATTTCAGAAGTGATAAATATTCGGGTTAAGGACGAATTATTTATCATTAGTCAATCATTAGAAAATTTAAATAGTACAAGATTATAGTCTACAATTTAAACAGTGGTAATTCTAAACAAAATCTGAATTCTTGCATGACGTAGTGTAATTAATGGTTTTAGTTTTTTTTTGAACATATTTAAACTTTGAACGTTTTTGACTCCTTTACATTATTTGGCGAAGAATTGTAAAAAATATTACAAGGTTTTAAATTATTTTTAAGTGAACATAATAATAAATATTTTAATTTTAAAATACAGCAGATACTACAATTCTATTACATTCTATATTAAAATAAGTTTAAATAACTTACAAGTATAATTTCATTTCGAACTTCTTTAGGCTCAGGGGGTACAAGAACCCGCCACATGCCTCGTATTGTCTCATAGTTCACTTTGATGAGAGTCCAAATGAACTCGAGTACGATATTCAGGACCGCTTGTATATCCGCCCTGTAAAATAAAAATGACACATAAAAGATCAAAATTATTAAATATTTTAACAATCTCACACAGTAAAATGTTATATATATATATATAATATATATATATATATATATATATATATGATTTGTAGGTCATTTATTTATAGATATTTTAAACTAGACATACTAGTATAGTACCTACTATGTGATCTGTGGTAACATTATGTATATGGCCACTAGCGACTCTTCCTCGCTTCGCTTCGTCTCGAGACAAAAACGAACCTATCCTACAGGAACCGTACATTTTTTCAGGATAAAAAATAATTTACGTGCTATTCCAGACTATAATCTACGGTCTACCTCTGTGCTTGATTTCATCCACATCCTTTCAGCTGATCTAGCGGGAAAGAGTAGCCTCCATCCATTCTCACAAACTTTCACATTTAAATTATGAGTATAAATACGGATTCTACATTAAAAAAATAACATTTCTTAAATAATCATAACGTTATGTCATTTTATCTAAATTAAAAGCGATAGTAGCATTATTGATCAATTTTGTAGAATGATTCATATTTAGTAAAAATTATTCGGATAAGACTGACTGCTGGTTATCATTTGCATAATTAACTTATCATTTGCAATATATAATAATTAACTAGCAGAACACGCGGCTTCGCTCGCGCTAAAACTACAAAAAAATCTCTAAAAAGGTAGTTTCATACAAACTTTCATCCCCTATTTTACCCTCTTATGGGATGAATTTCGAAAAATGCTAAAACACTTGTTTAATTAATTTTATTAAAGAGCATTAATACCGAGTTTCAAGTAATTCTGATCATAAATATTTTTATGGGTTGTATTATAACGTGTTTTCTCGTGGGAAAGCGAAAATCTCCCGCGGTAAAAAGTAGCCTATGTCACTCCCCAGCCCTCCAACTATCTCCACACAAAAAATAACGCCAATCCGTCACTCCGTTTCGATGTGAAAGAAAGACAACAACAAAACAAACACATTTTCACATTTATAATTAATGTACCTAAAGGAATTGAAGTATGGATTAAAGTACCTAAAGGAGCATGACTTGTACAAAATTATAAAAATGTATTAATGTATAATAAAAAGTTGATAACATTTTTATAGTTTTACTAGCGACTCACCCTCGCTCCGCTCGGGTTCGTCTCTGGGGTGGGGTCTGGGAGGACCACCCTTATCCTTATCACTTAGGGGTATGGAAAATAGATAGTAGCCGATTCTCAGACCTACTGAATACGCATATAAAATTTGGTAAAAATCGGTAAAGCCGTTTCGGAGGAGTACGGTAACAAACATTGTGACATGGAAATTTTATATATAAGTTTACTAGGTCAATCATTTCATATTAGACTCATACATTTTCATGTTAGACAGATAACAGTGCAGCATATGATAGGGTTATTATCATAATTAACTTCTTCAACAAAAACACAGACGATGAGATCATCTCGTTTATATGTACCTTATTCTATAAAAGTTATAACTGTTCATATTCCTTAAAACATTTTCTTATTCGAAATTTAAGTTAGTAGCTAGTATGTAGTAATATTCGAATTATTAGTATATTTTTATGTGTATGCAGGAATGAACAGCTTTAGCCGGTAGTTTAATGATTTTTGTTACTCGACAGCTGAATCCGCGAACGTACCTACTTCATAGTTCTTAAAGTTGTGTGAAATCACGGATTCAGCTTTCATGTTATATAAAAAAATCTTGTAAAATAACACTATAATCACACGACTGGGTCAAGGTCAAGGCGCAGGGTCAGTCCTGCCTGGTTTCCTTGGGACACAATAGCCCACTACTAACGTTTTAACTCTACACTAACGTTGAACATTACTTTAAAGAATACCTCAGGTTTTTTTTGGCCAACCCCGAGAATCAAACCCAAGACATTAAGAAATACAGCCAAGCTTATGACTGAACCAAAATTAAAACCGTCAACTTCAAAAATGTTTACTTACTGAAAATAGGATAAAAAATAATATTGGCGTGTGCGCCGGAGGAAGCAAAGAAATGTAGTATACACAATATCACATTGTGATTTGTGACATTTTATATTATAGAGTGTGGATCCATCAGTGATTATATTTTTGACCCTACTTGCTGTGCCAGCGGTCGCAGGTTCGATCCCCGCTGGGGGCATTCGTTTGTGTGACGAGCACGAATGTTTGTACTCAAGTCATGGGTGTTTATATTTATAACAAACATATATGTATTTAAAGTTATATATGTGTAGTGTATCAAGTTCAACTATCTAGTATCCATAACACAAGCCTCGTAGCTTAACATGAAACTTGATGGTGCTGTGTGTTAATGTCCCTTTTATTTCATAATCAATCTTAAATAAGACCAATTAATAATAACAGAACTCAAGAAGATAACCATAATATGTGAATATTTAGGTTAAGATAATAAATAACTCAGGCTAAAGAATGCTTTTAGTGAGCTTCAAACATTCTTTACTGAAAAAAAAATTAAAATTTAACAATATTAATATTTCCTTCAAGATTTCTATTCTTTTCTTCAGCATCATAATTATCATAATTTAGATAAGTATAGGTTAGTAGTTAAGTCGTTAGATGTGTTTGATAAACTTAAGGTTAAAGAAGTCGATTATTTATACAGATAAATAAAATTGAAGCGTCTGTTTGTTAGGTCAAAATAACAGCTTTTTACTAAATGCATATGAAATTATATACGTTACTTATAAGAAAAACACTAGTTTTTAAATTTTTGTCTGCATGACTGTCTGTTTATGCCGGCTAATAAAAAAATTCTCCGAAACAGCTGGACTGATTTTAACGGGGCTTTTACCGGCAGATAGCTGATGCTATAAGGAGTAACTCACTAGTTAGAAATTAGGTAGTTAGTAATTATTTACCCTGATTACGGTGAATACGATGGGTAATAATAATTTCATGGTACTTTTAAATGAGTGGGAAACGCGCGTAAGGTTTGCTTTTTAACCCCCGACGCAAAAAGAGGGGTGTTATAAGTTTGACGTCGATGTCTGTCTGTGTGTGTGTGTGTCTGTCTATGATATTGTCATCTCAAGAGGATGGACCGATTTCGATGCGGTTTTTTCATTTGAAAGCCAGTTGCCTTGCGGTGGTTCTTAGCTATGTTTGGTTAATATCGGTCCAAGTGTAAGAGTATCAGCACTTTTCCAAAATGATGTAAGGGATTTTGCCGTGTGATTACTCGATTAAGTACTTCACGCGTGCCAGTGTAATCGTTAAATGACAATTAATTCGCGTAGAGAGTTTTTTTATTTTTAATGTATAGTGATAGCTCTATAATAAAATAAGACATGATAGTGATGGTAATTTAAAGGCAAGTTCGACTCACAGTTGGCTTGTGTTTTGAATGTAATACTACATATAATTTCATTATAATATACTAGCGACTTACCCTCGTTTCGCTCGGGTTCGTTCCTAGCTTGCTTCCCGATACAAATTTTCATACCCATTTTCACCCCCTTAAGGAATGATTTCCGGGATAAAAAGTATCCTATGTCCTTCCCAGGATCTCAAACTATCTTCTTACCAAATTTCATCTAAATCGGTTCAGTAGATCCAGAGATTACCCCCTACAACGTCACAAACTCACAAACCCACAAACTCACAAAATTTACCTCTTTATAATATTAGTTTAGATATGCAACATAATATGTATGTGTATTAGTCTTGCAAAAAATTTTAAGGATTGCATGAATTTCCGATTTTCAATAGAGCAAAAACCAAAAAAACCTAGAAAACCTGTTTCGTTTATGAAAACACATACCTCTTGGCTTATATAGCTTATTTATGTATGTACATCTTATGTAATTAAACCTTAAGCACGAGCTGTTAAGATTAAGCAGTTTTCTACTTTGTAAAATGCAATTACGTATAAAACCTGCCTATATGCAGGTTAGGAAAAGTATCTTCGTCATATGAAGTACTAGCATTGCCCGCGGCTCCGCCCGCGTTCATACGACCAAAAACCAAATTCTTAGGTTTTACATATTAGTATACTCATTACAGTTACATTACAGTTTTTGTATTTTTTCTCAGAAATGAGATATTTTTCCGCGGTAAAAAGTATCCCATATGTTGACCCGGATAATCAGCTATGGCCATACCAAATTTCATCGAAATCCGTCCAGTAGTTTTTCTGTAATGCGGTAACAGACAGACAGACAGACAAAAATTCTAAAAACTATAGATTCGGCCTCTGTATCGATAATAATGTCTATATCAATAAGATTTTCCAACAAATATGTAATGTACAGATTTGACTCAGTTAGAATTTTATTATATGTATAGATTACAAAATCACATTTCCATTCAACCACGACGTCCTTTCAGCCTACCCAGCGCGGCGGGGCGTACAGCGTACCCCTTCTGCCTTCTTCTGAAGTTGGATTAGCGTCGTATGTTATTTTTCCCTAACTACAACTCAATATTTGAAAGGATTGTTGTTAAATATTGAGTTTCTCGCTTCAATGACTCTTCTCAGAAGAACTGTGTTACGAGCTGTTGACAGTTTCCTCTCGAATAAACTACACTAAAGTCTCTTTATAGATTCAAAAGGCCTTGTAAAAGTTATGATGTTCTCCTAGCCGATTCCGGCCACGGCGGCCAATCTCATTGAGACTAGCCAACTGCGCAGGAGATATTATAGTGCACAAGTGTACACGCAGACACAACGTGCACTCTCTATTCCTGTCACTCTCATACTCTGGTGGGACGACCACTCGACACGACCAGTGAGAGTTAAGGCGCAGGACCGACGGCTTTACGTGCTCTCCGAGGCACGGGGGTGAAACACCACCAACTTCCCAACTCCGGACTGTTACTGAGACTTACTATACAGAAAGACTCAATAACTAAACTTGGCCCGACCCGGGACTCGAACCCAGGAC